CTTGAATCCAGTTGTGTCATTAGCTACAGCGTTACTCACAGTTGTCCTCTGCTGTATCCCAGTAGTGCCATCTGACCTGAAAGTCTCTTCTTCTGGCACTATCTGTTGTTTCATTTTGGATTGCCTCATCATAGGGTTTTCATGGTAAAAGACATTGAAAGGGGTTTACCATGCCTTCTTCTGTGCATTACTAACAAATGTTAACTATGGTGCTCCTGCCATTGTCTCTGAGAGATCCTCCGTTAGTGTCACTTTTTGCCACTACTGCTGCCCAGTAGCTGTTTGGCACATTTAATCTGGCTCCTCAGCAAAAGTCTGTCTGATATGAAAGACCCTACCAGCCAGGAGCCAGGGTGACCAGATGTCCTCCTTTTTCAGGATCTGCCCTACATTTCAACCTTCTATCCAGGAGGAATTTCAAAATGTCCATTTTGAGCATGACTAAGAAGCACACATTTACATTTACACTCGTCCCTCCACATTTGCAGCTTTGATTATTCACAGATTTTATTAATATGTTCTCTCTAGAAATATCTAGTCCTCCAGCACAACTCTATAGTCAACTTTAACCAAAAGTCACACTGAAGGACCTAGAGATTCCTAGAGAGAACACTCCACTATGAATTTGTAGCTCCTCCAATGCAACTCTATGGTTAATGTCTGGCAGATGTTGACCACAGAGTTCTACTGGAGGACCTAGAGATTCCTAGAGAAGTGTTCTCTCAGGTAAAAACATAGGACGTTATCACACGGGCACAAATCTGCTGGTTAATCCACACAAATCCCAAACAAAAACTGGATTTGTGCCTTGCGTTTTCACATGACGTCGCACAGAAACTGGACAGAAAGTGGACAGAAACTGGTGTTAACCGAGATCTTTTGAAATTCAGTTGTTTGGAGGAAATGCAAATGCGAAATTAAGGTAATTTCGCATTTACCGTAATGTGAAAAGCAAATGCGCATTTGGGAGCATTTCCCTGCTGTTGCCATGGTTCCAGTGAGCATTCCTCTATCTGCGCATGTGCAAGAAGCTCATTTCTAGTACATTTACGGGCTTTTCTCACTTGTGTGTGAATGTTAAATGCGCTTACTTTAATTTCGCAATTAAGGTAATTACGTGTGAAAGCCATTTGCGGAATCAAGATTTATTTTCCGTTTATTTTCAGAATGCCTCATTTCCACTTTATTATCGCTTTCTGGCCCACATGTGATAACGTCCATAGTGTTTTTGTTATTTGTGCTTTTTCCACATTCACATTCACATCCCCTAACCCCAGCAAATGTGGAGGGACGAATGTATATGAGTGTTTTTAGCTTTTATTTGGTAATGTCCTACATTTTTCTTGGATAGTGCCTTGTCCTCCTTTGTGGTTAGGACATCTGGTCACCCTACCTACCATTAGCATAGCCTCTTGCCTCACATGAGCATGCAATCCCACCACCACCATGGAAACTTAGTACCCTAATGTGGGACCTTAAACGTAATGTTGGTGATATTATGAGGCCCTTAGTTCAGCGCCAGGGAACAAAGTGAAGCAACTAACACATCTGGAGAAGGGACAAAGGAAGGAAGAAAAAGACATTCTGCTAACTCTCAATTTTATAGGTAAAACTATGGTTATTCTGTTAATCAAAGGGAGAAACCAAAAGAATAACTCCATTCTGTAGATCCAAAAGTGCTTGAAAGAGGACAAAAAAAGCTATTTTTAGAAGATGGATCTTATCACTAGACTTCAAAGGTCAATAGAAAGGGATTCATGTGCAATAGACATCTATGCATGACATAAAAAACAACACTTTACAGGCAAAGGGGCTTTTTGGATAGTCAGCTGTTTCACACTTCAGAATTCACGTCCTTTGAAAACACAAAGCTATGGTTCCATCCTATGAAATTCTGAGATTCATAGTTTAGTAAGTATTATTTTATGCTTGGTAAGGTAGAAGGCAGCAGGAAAAGAGGAAGATCGCATTTCAGATGGATAGACTCAAGCAAGGAAGTCACAATCCTGAGTCTGCAAGATGGGCTGATTTATAAGTGTCTCATTGGACTTTTCCAGATGGGCAAAAGGGACAGGAGCATAGTGGGATGCTCCTGTCAGTGCCGTGCAATTGGGCGAAGATTTTCAGATGACATCGTGCAACATTGAGATTTTCCTGTGAATGAAAAGCAGCTGGAAAACTCCTCTTTATTCAAAGAATAACGACAGGATTATCGCGACATTGTGTGATGTCATCTAAAAATCTTTGCCCAATTGCACTATACTGATGGGAGCATCCTGCTATGATCCTGTCCCTTTTGCCCATCTTAAAAAATCCATTGATAGGATTGCCATAAATTGAGATCAATTTGATAGCAAGTAACAATAATAATAATAAAAAAATAACCAGAATGCTCTTCCAAAGAGCTCTAGGGTTTTAGCAGATTACAAACCCTGTAGGACGCATGGCAGTTGAAATTGTGTCAAGGTGCTAGAATTGTGTAGCGTGGAATGAACATAAGGTGCTAAAACCAAAAAGGAGAAGGAAGGAAGAGCGGATTTTTGTGTGACAGCACCGTGAGCTTAGTTGTGGTTCGAGAATGGTTTCTGGTGCTTAACACATGCCAACAGACATGTGGTTCCTTAATTCTAGGTGTATGCTTGCAGCTTCTTCCTCACTTCCCCACCAGACGGCTATTTTGCATCTAACAAAGTAGATCGCAGAAGGTGCAAGTCTGTCCAAGCCTGAAGTAAGTGAAAGAAATGTAAGAACCTTTTCCAGAGCTTGGAAAAGGTAGTTTGGACTATAACTTCCAGAATCCCCTAGCCAGCACAACCAATGCTTGGCTTGAGGGGTCTGGGTGTTATAGCCCTCAAAGTCACTTTTCCAAGCTCTGAGTAATATCTGCTGCCAGCTAAAGAGGCTCTCTCTGCTAAACCTATTAAATCTGAGAATGCCTGATGATAATTCCTTATGTCTATCGCTGTCCCACTGCAAAGATTGGGCACGAAATGATATCAAACTGATCTAAAACAGAAACAATTAGAACAGAATACCCTTGTTCTTGAACAAAGGATGTGCTCAATCAATAAGGCTTTAAAATGTCACGAAACCAGGCAAAATGAATTTATCAGCGACAGCAGAGACAAGGATGTGATCGGTAAGATCAGTGGTGAATTTTGAGATTTATTTTTTTTTTAACTCTGTGAGAAAAATAAAAAATAAAGCCAACCTTCTGTATCCATGGATTTCTTACCCACAGATTCAACCATCCATGGTTTGCAAATATTTGAAAACATATATAAATTCCAAAGAGCAAACCCTAATTTTGCCATTTTATGTAAGGGACAGCATTTTACTACCCCACTGAATATAATGGGGCTTGAACATCTGTGGATTTTGCTATCTATGGAGGGTCCTGGAACCAAGTACCAGCGGATACCAAGGGCCCGCTGTATGATTTGGCATCACACAAAGGGCTCTTTCACACTACAGAATTATAGCAGATTGTGTAGTGTGGAAGGGCCCCAAGTTTTCATCAACAGAACTTGGAGAGGGTGCTTTTTGGAGGATAGTAATATCCTGGTTGGGGGATTCTGGGACTTGAAATCCAAAAGTAACTTTCCCAAGCTCCGTTTCCCTCCACGTGAGCAATGCTAAGAAAATGCTGAGTGCAACATCAGTAATAAATGGGGGGGGGGGGACTACACTTGTGCTAAAACAGAAGAAACAGCTTACCTCTGCAAAAGGCAATCCCTAAATTTTTAGCTCTTCAGGGGTGTCCTTTTTTCTCGGTGGAGTCGACGGAGCATCAAGAGCCTCACGCCAAGCGCTGGCATTGACTTGTCTTGCCACACATGTATGAAACCAGAGCCAGGAAGTGACAGTCAGTTGTGGCGTGAGCTCACATTCGAAACAAAGGAAAAAAGAAAAACGAAGAAAAAATACCAGTTACACAACCAAGGCAATTGTTTCATCATTACACATTTAGCAGTGTTTTAAAAATAATCACAATAACAATAATGGACTTTGGCCACAAGTCAAGAATACAGTACAAATGCCGCAGTGCCAAACACTCTTGTTCAGAGTTACAGCCAGTTAGACGTGCTCTTTTCTAGTTACTCAGTTCTGCCACCAGATTGGGATTTCCATCATCCACAAGGGAGACAATAATAGAATCAGAGAGTTGAAGAGACCTCAAGGGCCATCCAGTCCAACCCCCCTGCTATGCAGGAACTCACAATCAAAGCACTAATGACAGATGACACCCCTTCAAATACTTAAACAGGGCTATCATATCACTTCTTAACCTTCTCTTCTCCAGACACAACATACCCACCTCCCTCCTCATAGGGCATGATTTCCAGACCCTTCATCATTTTGGTTGCCCTTCTTTGGACACACTCCAATTTGTCAACATCCCTTTTGAATTGTGGTGTCCAGAACTGGTCACAGTATTATTCCAGGTGGGGCCTGACCAAAGCAGAATAGAGTGGCACTGTTGCTTCCCTCATTCTAGACAATATACTTCTATTGATGCAGCCTAGAATTGTATTGGCCTTTTTAACTGCTGCATCACACTGTTGACTCATGTTCAACCTGTGGTCTACAGTGAATACACCCGTTCCATACTGAACTGCTTTTCAGTGTGTGTCTTCCCCGAGGTTGCTCAGTGGTTTTCCATGACTGAGTGAACCCTGGTCTCTAGAGTAGTAGCTCAATGCTCAAACCCCTAAAACACTCCCTCCCTAAGGAGCTAATATATAATAGTAACATTTATTTATAATGCCCTTTCCACCATCAGAATATATGTAATATGCAATCAAAAATATCAGATCATATACAACAGAACATATACAATAAAAAACAAACAATAAAACACCACACTATGAAATGCTAAAGTACTAAAATATTATACTAATATGCTAAACACAAAAACAAACAATGGTCCTAGAATGGTCGTCTCCTTGCTGTCTTTCTGTCAGCAGGCAAAGATCTTTTTATTCCATTAAGGATTTAGAGCCAATGTAGCATAGTGGTTTGAGTGTTGGACTACAGCTCTGGAGACCAGGGTTCAAATTCCCACTCGGCCATGAAACTCACTTGGTGACCTTGAGCAAGTCACACTCTCTCAGCCTCAGAGGATGACAATGGCAAACCTCCTCTGAATGAAACTTGACAAGAAAACCCTGGATAGGGTCCCTGTAAGTCGGAAATTACTTGAAGGCACACAGCAAAAACAGCAACAACGGGGTTTTAGAACCAAAACAGCCAAAGGATAGAAACAGTCTTACTTGAAAAATCACATAGGCAACTGCTGCCACACTGCAAAATTAATGCAGTTTGATACTACTTTAACTATCATGTCTCCATCCTATAGAATTCCAAGATTTGTAGTTTGTTGGGACACCAGAGCTCTCTGACAGAGAAGGCTAAATATCTCTTGTTGTTGTTGTTGTTGTTGTTGTTGTGTGCCTTCAAATTGTCAAGCCTATCTTTTTGGCAAGATTTGTTCAGAGGGTTTTTTACCAGTGCCTTCCCCTGAGGCTGAGAGAGTGTGACCTGCCTAAGGTCACCAAGTAGGTTTCCAAGGCTGAGCAAGGATTTGAACCCTGGTCTCTGGATTCATAGTCCAACATGCAAACCACTAGGGACCTCATCACACGGGGCCCAATCCAGACAGAATCCAAACGAAATCCTGACCTA